GGGGCCCTAGAATTTAACTTCAATTTCATCAAGTTTGACATATGCTAAGTGCTTTAATGATATTATCCGACTACTTGCACAGTACTTTTATGTTTATTTGAGTGTATTTACATGGAGAATGTGGTCCATAAACACTATCAAATAGAGAAAAGCAATGATCTAACAGGGTGGAACTATCTAATCTAATGTTGTACCATATTGCATATTAGGGGGGGGGGGGGGGGACTTAAGCTCTGATCTCTACCCGTGCTGTCAGTCTGAACTTCCAAGGAAGAGGAGGACTGAGGAGGAGGAGGAGGATGAGGACAGAGGAAGGGGACTGAGGAGGATAAGGAGAACTGAGGACTGAGAGGATGAGGAGGAGGAAAAGGACTGGGGAGGAGGAGAGGAGGAGAAAGACTGAGGAGAGGAGGACTGACGAGAAGGAGACTTAGGAGTAGGAGAAGGAGGAGGAGAACTGAGGAGGAGGACTGAGGAGGAGACTGAGGAGGAGGAGGACTGAAGAGGAGGAGGATGATGAGGAGAAGGCTGACGAGTAGAAGAGGACTGGGGACTGAGGAGCAAGAGGACTGAGAAGGAGGACTGAGGACCTGAGGAGGAGGAGGAGGACTGAGGGAAGACTGAGGGAAGACTGAGGAGGAAGACTGAGGAGACGAGAACGAGGACTAGGAGGATGAGGACGAGAACTAAGGACGAAGACTAGGAGGATGAGGACGAGAACTAAGGACGAGGAGGAGGACGACTGAGGAGGAGACTGTTGAAGAGGAGGGACTGGGGGAGGACTAAGGAGGAGTGAGGGAGGAGGAGGAGAAGGAGACTGGGGGGAGGACTGAGGAGGAGGGATCAGGAAGAGGACTGATGACGAGGATAAGGAGGAGGAAGAACACTGATGAGAGGATGACGAGGAGGACTGAGGATGAGGAAGAGGAGAAGGAAGACTGGGGGAGGACTGATGAAAAGGAAGAGGAGAAGGAAAACTGGGGCTGGACTGATGAGAAGGAAGAGGAGGAGGACTGAGGAGGAGGAGAAGGAGGACTTAGGAGTAGGAGGAGAAGGGGGACTGGGGACTGAGGAGGAGGAGGAGGAGGAGGATGAGGAGGAGGATGAGGACTGACAAGTAGGAAAAGGACTGGGGGACTGAGGAGGAGGAGGAGGAGGGCTGACGTGCAGGAGGAGGAGGAGGAGGACTGAGGAAGAGGACTGAGGAGGATGAGGAGGACTGAGGACTGATTAGGATGAGGAGGAGGAGGAGGAAGACTGAGGAGGAGGAGGACTGACGAGGAGGAAGACTCAGGAGTAGGAGAAGGAGAACTGAGGATTTTTGGCAAGGTTGGGATAGACTTGATGTCGTGAGGCACAGCGTTATACAAAGCAGAGGCCACTGAAGGGAAAGAATGAAACCTCATGGTGTTGGTGCTTTTGTATTTTGATCCGCCAAGAGGACGAAGACATGTAACTCCTCTTCTTTGAGAGTGTTGGAAAGTAATGTTTACACTGTTGGGAATCTCACCGTAGTAAATTTTCCAGACAAGGATGATCGTGTACCTCTCGCGGGCGGCGCTGTAGGGAGTAGAGATCAAGCTGCTTCAGGCGCTCCCAGTAGGCTAAGATACTTGTATCCTGCTATTTTTGCAGTGAATGAGCGTTGGATCGACGCAATCATGATTATGTTACACTGGAGGAGGAGGAGGAGGAAGAGGAGGAGGAGGGAGGAGGAGGAGGGAGGAGGAGGGAAGAGGAGGAGGAGGGAGAGAGAGGAGAGCAGGAGGAGGAGGGGAGGAGGAGGAGGAGAAGGAGTACTGGGGAGTAAGACTTGAGGGGGGAGGAGGGGGAATGAGGACTAAGGTGGAGGGTGAGGAGGACTGAGGAGAAGGACTGATAGAGAGAAGGAAGAGGAGAAGGAGGAGGAGAAGGAGGAGAAGGAGGAGGACTCAGGAGGACTCAGGAGGAGGACCCAGGAGGAGGACGAGGACGATGACTAAGGACGAGGTCGACTATGAGGAGGACTGAGGAGGAGGACTGATAGGGAGGAGAAAGGAGAGAGAAGGAGAGGAGAAGGAAGAGGAAGAACGAGGAGGAGGAAGAGGAGGAGGAGGAGGAGGAGGAGGAGGAGGGAGGAGGGAGGAGGAGGAGGAGGAGGAGGGAGGAGAAGGAGAGGAGAAGGAGAAGGAGGAGGAGGACTCAGGAGGAGGAATTAGGAGTGGACTCAGGAGGTGGAGGAGGATGAGGGAAGAGGAGTCAGGAGGAGGACTGAAGAGGAGGAGGACTGAGGAGGATCGGAGGAGGGGAGGAGAGGACTCAGGAGGAGGAGGAAGACTAAGGAGGAGGAGGACTTATATCCCTTTTGAGAGGTTTTTGAGATCGATTCTGTAAATTTCTCAATTTTCCGATTTTGGCCTCATCAACACTCATTGTGATATCGGGTCGACCCCCCCCCCCCCCCCCCCCCCCCCCCCGGTTTGTACAGACAAGCAAACTTTGCTGGAGTATAGTTTTGCGAAAAAAACTTGACCCGACCCTTGACAATCTTGATATTTGCACTCTCTCAGCTTCACTTTCTTGATCGAATGCTGATGCTGAAATCCCCCCCCCCCCCCCCCCCCCCCCCGGTGAAGGTATTTCTCTGTTCAATAGTCGAGTATGAAAAGAATTACATCCCTCTCACATCTTTCAAATTCGTGTATATTTGTTTTAAATTGAACAAAATTCATGCCAAAAATACAGGGTCAAAAGGCCCCAAAAGGCCCCAAAAAAGCCCCGATTTCTAGGGCCCTTTTCGGATTTTTTATATGTGTAGGGTTTTTTGGGGGCGTTGCTTCCCCCCCCCCCCCCCCCTTTATAATGCGTTTATTTTCCTTGCGCTACAACTCGTGTTACTAGATCAATCTGATAAAATAAGCGTATATATGCAATATGTCTCCTCAATGTTGTCATTGGTAGTCGCCCCCGCCCCCTCCCTTAATTTACCTGAGGGTACTCTAACAGCCCTCAAGTAGCTCCCAAGAAGTCAGGAATGTCCAGTGACCATTGATAAATATTCTAGACTTCAGTCTTGAGAAGTTTACGATCTGGTCTTGAGAAGCCAGATTTTTTGGGGACTAATGGAGACTTTTGGGGACTAATGGGGACTAAAAATCATGGGGACTCGGGTAAAATCGTTGACGTAATTCCCCAAGTCCCCAAAAGTAGTCATTACTCCCCCCCCCCCCCCCCCCCCGAAGCTACACTCCTCTCTCCCCCTGAATGTTTGAAGCTACACCCCTCTCTCCCCTGAATGTTTGAAGCTACAACCCCTCTCTCCCCCTGAATGTTTGAAGCTACACCCCTCTCTCCCCCTCTGAATGTTTGAAACTACACCCCTCTCTCCCCCTGAATGTTTGAAGCTACACCCCCTCCTCCCCTGAATTTTGAAGCTACACCCCTCTCTCCCCCTGAATGTTTGAAGCTACACCCCTCTCTCCCCCTCTGAATGTTTGAAACTACACCCCTCTCTCCCCCTGAATGTTTGAAGCTACACTCCTCTCTCCCCTGAATGTTTGAAGCTACACCCCTCTCTCCCCCTGAATTGTTGAAGATACACCCCTCTCTCCCCTCTGAATGTTTGAAACTACACCCCTCTCTCCCCCTCTGAATGTTTGAAGCTACACCCCTCTCTCCCCCTGAATGTTTGAAGCTACACCTCTCTCCCCCTGAATGTTTGAAGCTACACCCCTCTCTCCCCCTCTGAATGTTTGAAGCTACACCCCTCTCTCCCCTGAATGTTTGAAACTACACCCCTCTCTCCCCCTCTGAATGTTTGAAACTACACCCCTCTCTCCCCCTGAATGTTTGAAGCTACAACTCTCTCCCCCTGAATGTTTGAAGCTACACCCCTCTCTCCCCCTCTGAATGTTTGAAGCTACACCCCTCTCTCCCCTGAATGTTTGAAACTACACCCCTCTCTCCCCTCTGAATGTTTGAAGCTACACCCCTCTCTCCCCCTCTGAATGTTTGAAGCTACACTCCTCTCTCCCCCTGAATGTTTGAAGCTACACCCCTCTCTCCCCCTGAATGTTTGAAGCTACACCCCTCTCTCCCCCTGAATGTTTGAAGCTACACCCCTCTCCTCCACCCTGAATGTTTGAAACTACACCCCTCTCTCCCCTGAATGTTTGAAGCTACACCCCTCTCTCCCCCTGAATTTTTGAAGCTACACCCCTCTCTCCCCTGAATGTTTGAAGCTACACTCCTCTCTCCCCTGAATGTTTGAAGCTAACACCCCTCTCTCCCTCTGAATGTTTGAAACTACACCCTCTCTCCCCCTGAATGTTGGAAGCTACACCCCTCTCTCCCCTGAATGTTTGAAGCTACACTCCTCTCTCCCCCCTGAATGTTTGAAGCTACACCCCTCTCTCCCCCTGAATGGTTTGAAGCTACACCCCTCTCCTCCCCCTGAATGTTTGAAGCTACACCTCTCTCTCCCCCTGAATGTTTGAAACTACACCCCTCTCTCCCCTGAATGTTTGAAGCTACACCCCTCTCTCCCCTGAATGTTTTGAAGCTACAACCCCTCTCTCCCTGAATGTTTGAAGCTACACTCCTCTCATCCCCTGAATGTTTGAAGCTACACCCTCTCTCCCCTCTGAATGTTTGAAACTACACCCCTCTCTCCCCCTGAATGTTGAAGCTACACCCCTCTCTCCCTGAATGTTTGAAGCTACACCCCTCTCTCCCCCTGAATGTTTGAAACCTACACCCCTCTCTCCCCCTCTGAATGTTTGAAACTACACCCCTCTCTCTCCCCCTGAATGTTTGAAGCTACACCCCTCTCTCCCCTGAATGTTTGAAGCTACACTCCTCTCTCCCCTGAATGTTTGAAGCTACACCCCTCTCTCCCCTCTGAATGTTTGAAACTACACCCCTCTCTCCCCCTGAATGTTTGAAGCTACACCCCTCTCTCCCCTGAATGTTTGAAACTACACCCTCTCTCCCCCTGAATGTAGATTTATAATGTAACTGACCGTGAAATGTAGCTTTAGGTGTTGTAACACACTGGTCGGGATTATCTGCGACACTACTCTTTATCTCATGGCCGCACGCTAACCAGTCACCTTCTAACTGTTTTCCGTATGGTTTATCCTGAAGGTAACTAAACGTGAAGGAGGGTAACGTCATGTGAAGGAGGGTGATGTCATGTGAGGGATTGTGACGTCATGTGTGGAGATATGACCGTAGTGAGGAAATCTAAACAGGGAAATGGGTTCACTTGAAACTGTGTCACGTGATGTGATAGAGAAGGAAATTAAAACGATCGTTATACTCACTAAGGAATAAAGGCAGTAGTGTTGAAGAATATCTTCAGCAAAACCATAGACAGGTTCAGTCCATTCCAATGTTACATTAGATTCTTGTACTTGAACGAATACCTGGAAAGTGACGTCATCAGATCGGTGTGACGTCATCAGATCGGTGTGACGTCATCAGATCGGTGTGATATTTTTGATGACAATTGATAGCCTCAATTCACGAAGGCACTCACTCACTCCCTCGCTCACCCATTTTCAGCCCCTCCCTTCTTCCTAACCCTAATCCAGTTTACATAATATGGTTATTGTGTGAAAATTACATTTACATCAGGATTTCCACCAATTTCCAAACTACCCTCCCACTTTAAAGTCGACGTAATAACATGTAATTGTGATCTCTCCCTTATTATTGCTACGCGACAAACTACAAACTACCCTCCCACTGTAAAGTCGACGTAATAACATGTAATTGTGATCTCTCCCTTATTGCTACGCGACAAACTTCAGTAAACATAAAACAGGTTTCAGTTACTTCCCCTGCTCGACCGCTGAGTAAAGAGATTACTTTTGACAATTTATGTATTGTTAGTGGAGGTGGAAAGAGCGGGAAAAGTTTCTGTACCTCAATTCACGAGGTACCCCGGAAGTATCCCGGATCGATTACAATAAACACGATATACCCTATAGAAGCCACTATGCATGCTAAAATTGTATCGCGTGATCATTATTTGGCTTTTAAAAATGTGTTTATTTTCACCAAAGAAAGAACAGAAACCACCATTTTCCCGCCATTTCCTCCTCTTTATAACGAACCTCAGCCTCAGGTCCCAACATTATGATTGAAGCGTCCACCGCGTAGTTGTCAAACACGTACAGTTGGAATGTGTTGGTAGAGTCAATACTGCTCCGTTTACCCAGCAGATTAAACTGAAATGTTTTGAAACTGGTTACGGGAGTTTTTAGTTACGGGGGTCTGGCTGGTTACTAGGGGACCTTAGGAGTTATGGGAGGAGCGACAAAATTTAGTTAAAAAGGTCAGCCAACATAAGTCTACAAAAACGATCGCATGTATATTAGGTAAAACTTGAAAGAGAACTAATAGTATGAACAATACCAATTTCACTAACAGTGTATTTAATTTCAGAGAAGCTCAGCACAGCTTTGTGGAGTGGAGCACCTTTAGATATCACTGAGTTGCCAGCTGTCCCTGCCGGGGGTTTAGTGCTATTGTTATTATCACGTCACGTGGTGTGACGTCATGTCACGTGGTGTGACGTCATGTCACGTGGTGTGACGTCATGTCACGTGGTGTGACGTCATGTCACGTGGTCTGACGTCATGTCACGTGGTGTGACGTCATGTCACGTGGTGTGATGTCACGTCACGTGGTGTGACGTCATGTCACGTGGTCTGACGTCATGTCACGTGGTGTGATGTCACGTCACGTGGTGTGACGTCATGTCACGAATTGATTATAAACAGATGAGAATAGATACAACCTTAAAAGTAAAACAACAACAGTCCGAATCAGTTAGAATCAGTTAGAAACGTTATTTGTTTTCAATACAATTATTGATTAATCAGAACAATCAATTAAGAAGAGAATATGACGATACTTTCTGCAGTCATTTTATGTATTAAGAATGGGTGTGACGTCATGTCACGTGGTGTGACGTCACGTCACGTTATGTGACGTCATGTCACGTGGTGTGACGTCATGTCACGTGGTGTGACGTCATTTTATGTATGTATTAAGAATGGGTTCTCAAAGTTTGATCAACAACTCCCACAACTACAACAGTAGTCTTTACTTTCAACAACAAGTTTCATTTTGATCTAATTGAAACCATTTATAAATCTTTTATTGGAAGGAAATTGTATTTTTCTGTTTCCAAACCCAACAATCAACATGTAAGAGTCAAGAACCAAAAATGCTAGAAGGTGATGACGTGACAAATGTCTAAAACATCACACTTGAAGTTTTCTATTATATGAAGGATTAGACCAACAAAGGTGCAATGTGATACTAATTTTAAACGGCTAAGATAGAATTTCAAGATATTAATCGAACACACTAAACATACCCTCGTAGATAGCGAGAGCGTCTGAAAAACAACAAATGCTTCATAGAACTTGATTAGCATATTATTATTTATTCAACCAAAATCATGCAAATTTACTTAAAGTAGGCATCTAATAGGTTATATAAATTGATGGATTGTGGCTTTTGACTTTCGGGAAATATTCAAATCATATGTTTTTCTTCATTTACAATATTAAAAACATCTCTGCAATACGCAACCTTAATCGTGTGGGGTTATAATGTGATTTAATTTTACACTATTGATAACGAGGATAGGATAAGCGTGATGCATGCTTCGCAACTACCTGGTTATATAATTCTAGTATATTCTAGTATATTAACACAAGAACACTTTAGCCAATACAATTTCGATTACGTTTTTCAATTTGCAGGAATGCTGAGAATTTTTAACTACTCAATAGTAACTATCATAGATGCGGATACTGGCGGGGAGGTGATAATTGTTTGTTTACATTAATAGTGAGCACATGTTCAGGAGGCTGAGGAGGTGATAATTGCTTGTTTATATTTTAGGGCGAGCAAGCTTGTCGTTGACAAGCTTGGAAATTATTGTGTTCGATTAACCGTTCAAAGGTTGATAAGTGTGATTAAATTTTATAAAATTCCGATATTCTTCGGCGTTTAAAAAAATTCCGAATGTTATGGTTCAAGTAAAAATTTCCAATGCGTCTTATCGAAAGTGAGTGAGAGAAACACTTGTGGCAATTTTATTTACTGATCCTCTTATTTGTAAAGCTATCCTCAATACATAATATGCAGTTACAAAGTGTGATAACCGTTTCAACAGGGGTCGAATTCACAAAAATAACGTAAACCATTGATTTAAAGCAACTGCCGCTCCTGTCTCTTGATTGCTGATGACAATCAGGAACACATGACGTATCATCACGACGATTATTGGTCACTCGAAATCGACCCGTTAAGAATGCAATGTAGGTGTGATGGTTGTTTCTGAGTATTTGTTACCTGTTACTAATTAATTAACAGGATCATAATATGTTGATTGTATCGATAAAACATGGATTTTAAGGCATAAGGAAGCATTGTTGAGTTCTGAAACCAAGTTTAATCGATTTCTCGTGCAATTTTAGGTCAGGGATGATCATCAAAATAAGTTTATAACAATGTCGATACTTTGGTAAATTTCTAGCTTTCTGCCAGAAAATAAATTTTCGGTTTCTATAGGGGGTAATTAGGTAATAACTACAGTACAGCTGTACCCACATTCACAAGCATGCAAGCTCACCTGGTCCAATGAGCGGGAAACGGAGAACAAGGTCTGGTGACGTCATAGTCACGTCACCTCAGGCTCATAATCACGTGACCTCAGACCCAATCAATTGGTTTCTGGTCTGGTCAGCCCCCTGTCAACCGATCTTGAGGTGACGTGCGACACCTCGTTGACCCAATCAATGTCTGGAAGGCTGCAAATTTTCACATGCCAAATTCACAAGATTCTTAAAGAGTTGTGCGAGATGACGATACATAGAGGCCGCAGAATTATGAGGACTACCGGATCCCGTTGGAACATAAGCGATCCATGATATCACAACAGGCCCTACATAGTTACACAACTAGTTACCATAGTTACACTACTAGTTACCATAGTTACACAACAGGCCCTAGCGGCTAGCAGAGGCTGCAGATGAAAATGAATCTCATCGTGTTAATGTTGCTGTACAAGAGGTTGAAGATATGTAATCTTCACCTTACAGAATCCAAAACTCTCTTATGTCTCACTTATTTGACACCACTTGTCGGCTTCGCTCGATTGAAATTGAACGAGTAGTCCTTTTCGTTCCCTTTGGAGGCACCACTAGAAAGACTCCTTTGCGAGTTCAAAGACTCTGGCTACGTGACTCGGTGGAGGCTCTTTCTATATGAAAGCTTCAGTAAGAATAGTTGTATGCCTATAATTTCATTACCTGGCTACTAAATACACTATATCAGTATATCTGTCAGATGAGTTCAGTTCGTATTCAACCACTTTGAATTCCTTTTAAAACTTATAATGGACCATTAACAGATCGAAGTGTAGCACAGTTTACCTACCACACTTTAAGTTATATCTTGATGCAAGCTAGTAAGGTATCTTGATGCACGCAAACTACAGTGAAAATCTTTTTTGGACTGCCTTATTTAACTTGAACAGTGACAAATTTTAATTTAATTTAAATTTATCACAGATCATAGTAACAGACTGAAGTGTAGCACAGTTTACCTACCACACTTTAAGTTATATCTTGATGCAAGCTAGTAAGGTATCTTGATGCACGCAAACTACAGTGAAATTCTTTTTTGGACTACCTTATTTAACTTGAACAGTGACAAATTTTAATTTAATTTCAATTTATCACAGATCATAGTAACAGACTGAAGTGTAGCACAGTTTACCTACCACACTTTAAGTTATATCTTGATGCAAGCTAGTAAGGTATCTTGATGCACGCAAACTACAGTGAAAATCTTTTTTGGACTGCCTTATTTAACTTGAACAGTGACAAATTTTAATTTAATTTAAATTTATTACAGATCATAGTAACAGACTGAAGTGTAGCACAGTTTACCTACCACACTTTAAGTTATATCTTGATGCAAGCTAGTAAGGTATCTTGATGCACGCAAACTACAGTGAAAATCTTTTTTGGACTGCCTTATTTAACTTGAACAGTGACAAATTTTAATTTAATTTAAATTTATCACAGATCATAGTAACAGACTGAAGTGTAGTACAGTTTAACTACACTTAAACTACGAGACTACAGATATATCCTGATACAAGTAAGCAGAAAAGGAGGAATGTTGAGACCAAATATTTTGAGCACAGCTGTCCTTATATAGCTGCTTCACTTCCAGTTCACTAACATTCAGTTCTCTTTAAGTTGAAGTTCTAATTTGTTTAAGACTCTGGGACGATATTTCAACGAATCGTTATTTTTTTCATGGCTGTCGCCCAGACTGTATCAATTTAAGGCACCCGCTCCCTTCTTTGATTTACGATAATGATCGTGAACAAAATTAGAGTCTGGTATCCAACAAATTTTAGATCTCTATTAACATGGTTTTTTAGACACCTAAATATACCGATTTCCGCCTTCCGGGTTTTTTCCAGCACTAAATTTTAGCAGCTGGTTGCTTTTTTCCTTTTTATCAATATAATAGAATAGACTATTTTGATCTACCTTTTGAGTTTTGAACGACTTCTGATACGACTGATTTCTCCTTAGAACACGGTGGTATTTGCTTTATCAGGGCTTTAACTTTCAGTTCTGTTCCTTTTACCAGGTTTCAGTCTCACGTAACTCCGCATTTAATTTTTTAAATCTTATTTTTATCTGATATCGATTGATATTTGTAAAAAACGTTGATTTATTTAAGTATTGTTATATTCGTATCCTATTCTTTTAACCTTAAAAAACACCAGACCCGCAGCAATGACGAAAGTATTATGTTTTCTACTAGTGCTAGGACTGATCGCTCTGACTCAGTGTCAGCCTCCAGGATTAGGAAGACGATCAGCTGAACCCCAGCCTCCAGGATTAGGAAGACGATCAGCTGAACCCCAGCCTCCAGGATTAGGAAGACGATCAGCTGAACCCCAGCCTCCAGGATTAGGAAGACGATCAGCTGAACCCCAGCCTCCAGGATTAGGAAGACGATCAGCTGAACCCCAGCCTCCAGGATTAGGAAGACGATCAGCTGAACCCCAGCCTCCAGGATTAGGAAGACGATCAGCTGAACCCCAGCCTCCAGGATTAGGAAGACGATCAGCTGAACCCCAGCCTCCAGGATTAGGAAGACGATCAGCTGAAACCCCAGCCTCCAGGATTAGGAAGACGATCAGCTGAACCCCAGCCTCCAGGATTAGGAAGACGATCAGCTGAACCCCAGCCTCCAGGATTAGGAAGACGATCAGCTGAACCCCAGCCTCCAGGATTAGGAAGACGATCAGCTGAACCCCAGCCTCCAGGATTAGGAAGACGATCAGCTGAACCCCAGCCTCCAGGATTAGGAAGACGATCAGCTGAACCTCAGCCTCCAGGATTAGGAAGACGATCAGCTGAACCCCAGCCTCCAGGATTAGGAAGACGATCAGCTGAACCCCAGCCTCCAGGATTAGGAAGACGATCAGCTGAACCCCAGCCTCCAGGATTAGGAAGACGATCAGCTGAACCCCAGCCTCCAGGATTAGGAAGACGATCAGCTGAACCCCAGCCTCCAGGATTAGGAAGACGATCAGCTGAACCCCAGCCTCCAGGATTAGGAAGACGATCAGCTGAACCCCAGCAGAACGGTGAACCATTTGTTGATTTTGGAAAACGATCAGCTGAACCCCAGCAGAACGGTGAACCATTTGTTGATTTTGGAAAACGATCAGCTGAACCCCAGCAGAACGGTGAACCATTTGTTGATTTTGGAAAACGATCAGCTGAACCCCAGCAGAACGGTGAACCATTTGTTGATTTTGGAAAACGATCAGCTGAACCCCAGCAGAACGGTGAACCATTTGTTGATTTTGGAAAACGATCAGCTGAACCCCAGCAGAACGGTGAACCATTTGTTGATTTTGGAAAACGATCAGCTGAACCCCAGCAGAACGGTGAACCATTTGTTGATTTTGGAAAACGATCAGCTGAACCCCAGCAGAACGGTGAACCATTTGTTGATTTTGGAAAACGATCAGCTGAACCCCAGCAGAACGGTGAACCATTTGTTGATTTTGGAAAACGATCAGCTGAACCCCAGCAGAACGGTGAACCATTTGTTGATTTTGGAAAACGATCAGCTGAACCCCAGCAGAACGGTGAACCATTTGTTGATTTTGGAAAACGATCAGCTGAACCCCAGCAGAACGGTGAACCATTTGTTGATTTTGGAAAACGATCAGCTGAACCCCAGCAGAACGGTGAACCATTTGTTGATTTTGGAAAACGATCAGCTGAACCCCAGCAGAACGGTGAACCATTTGTTGATTTTGGAAAACGATCAGCTGAACCCCAG